AATTATGAATACAGAAATAACTAAAATGCGGTATAAATCTATCCATCAGAGTTAAGCTTAATACAAAATTAAAAAATAATCCAAATATATCTCGTTAATGTGTAAATGCATGTATACACAGTAAATAACTGTCTCAAAAAATATTCCATAAATTATAAGTACAGAAATAACTAAAATGCGGTATAAATCTATCCATCAGAGTTAAGCTTAATATAAAATTAAAAGATAATCCAAATACATCTCGTTAATGTGTAAATGCATGTATACACAGTAAACAACTGTCTCAAGAAATATTCCATAGATTAGAAAGACAAAAATAACAAAAATGCTGCATAAAACCATCCATCAGAGTTAAGGTCATCACAAAAAGCGCACATCTTCTAGATTGTGTAAATGCATGAATACACATAAAATGTTACACCATATACAGCGTTGACGGACCTTAAAAACCAAAAGCTTGATGTATATTGTACGTTTTAAGCTGCTCGTTACCAGTAATGTTCCAAAAAGATGTGTAAATGCATGTATACACAGATATAAACCTGGAGAAAAAAGTTTGTCATAGTCTACAATAAATCAATATAAAGTACGACATGAACTACTTTGATCACAGAAAGTGTAAAATATATCTCAACTAGTTTGAAAAGATGCATTAAATTAATAAAACTATAATTATTTTAAGTAATATAAGCAACTACATAAAACACAAAAATGCAAGTAAACCTTGCGGCATAAAATTGTTTATTGCAGAATAAGAACCACCGGCAGATTGCAACTTAAACAAATGATGAAATTATAAAACATTGGCTAATGAGGTAGCTTGTAATGCGGCCGTAACAGTAATACGTCGGTATCAAGCCCGAAAAAACGCAGAGAGGAAGCATTCTAACGAAATAAGATAAAAAAATATTACATACTATCAACGATGCTCTAAAAAGTCTCTTCACAAAATTGTAAGTAAAAACAAAAAGTAGTCCTGATGTAATTTGGCAACTAAAATGAATAAAAACAGAACAAATTAAAAATGCATGTAATAATGCAAAAACAGTTTACACCCCCTAAACTGTATACGTATTATTATTAGGCTGGTGAGAAAAAAGTAGGAACAACTGAAATGAGAAAGCTATAGGAATAGGACACTAGGACCAAACTGGCAAACGCAGACCCACATCTTGTGTAAGCAAAAATAAAAAAGGTCATAATAATATTAAAAGCGTCCAATGCAACTTCGCAAGTAAACATGCATAAAAAGTAGCACTTTGGCCGTTTTCGATGTACGCGTATGGTGGAAAATCGCTGAAAACTTACCCACCCCTTCGTTTTTTTTTTCGCTATTAAAATTTTTATACGTTTCTTATGTTATAATAAACAATGTGTATCATTTTTGGCGCGGCCTTCGTTCTGGATTTCGAGTTATGAAATCCAGAAGTCGCACTTTGGCCGTTCTCGATATACGCGTGAGGTGGAAAATCGCTGAAAACTTACCCGCCCTTTCGTTTTTTTTCCGCTATTAAAATTTTTATACATTGTTTATGTAATAATAGACAATGTGTATCATTTTTGGCGTGGCCTTCGTTCTGGATTTCGAGTTATGAAATCCAGAAGTCGCACTTTGGCCGTTCTCGATATACGCGTGAGGTGGAAAATCGCTGAAAACTTACCCGCCCCTTCGTTTTTTTTCCGCTATTAAAATTTTTATACATTGTTTATGTAATAATAGACAATGTGTATCATTTTTGGCGTGGCCTTCGTTCTGGATTTCGAGTTATGAAATCCAGAAGTCGCACTTTGGCCGTTCTCGATATACGCGTGAGGTGGAAAATCGCTGAAAACTTACCCGCCCTTTCGTTTTTTTTCCGCTATTAAAATTTTTATACGTTTTTTATGTTATAATAAACAATGTGTATCATTTTTGGCGCGGCCTTCGTTCTGGATTTCGAGTTATGAAATTCAGAAGTCGCACTTTGGCCGTTCTCGATATGCG